AAACATCATTTGCAATTGGTATGGTGTCTTACCTTCTCACAGTCGGTGAATTTCACATAGTTATCCAATATGACACCCCAGAAGGTAGAAATATTCTCAACACTTTCTTTATTGTTGGCTTCCAACGCCTGTTGCTGTAATTACGCAACAAACATTATTAATTTACCGTCTATAACACTACTTTTCAATATTTATTAATTTAACTCACCACTAAGAGGTATGGAAGGTAGCCAATCCTCCGGTGTGACTTTTGAGAATCGTAGCATATGGTCCAGGCGAGCAAATCGATAACCTAACAAAATTAATTACACAATCAGAACATATTCAATAAGTTTTATTTATTTTCTACTTTCTACTTACCACACCGCCAACCCATTCTGTAGGCTTCAACGTTGCAACGTCGTATACAGTAGCGAATTGATTTCCCATTGATATTACAGAATATCTGTATGAATCATTAGGATTAATATCTTGTCATGAAATATTTAAATATCACTCACAAAACAATATATTTCACTTACCCCGATTCTAACTCGCTATTCCATAAATAATCACAAATTGCAGCTTCGATGTCATCAATTCCGGTTGGAATGTCCGCTTTTTCAACCTACAATTTTGCATACAAATTTTTGTCACAACAACATAATAAAAATCAAATTAAGTATTCTTTTATTAAACTTACCTTCTGCTTCTTCTTCTGGGGTGCAGGACATTCCGAATCCAAAACTGCTGCTATGACACTCTCCGGTGTATAAAGCACATTGGGCCTCTCCTTCCTCCTCATTTCTTCCATCTCTTCTTCTTCCTCCTCCCTCTTTTCTTCTTCATATTTTTTCAGTTCATCGTACTTTTTTTCTACATAGCTCTTCATATCTTTTATTTCACCCTTCAATTGAGCTCCTTCATCCGAGTATTTATCAACCACCCCCTTCACCCCCGTAAGTTCACTCCTCAAATCAACAACCTCCTTCACCACTCCCTCAAATTTTTCTCCCGTCACCATCTTAATATCACCCCTTAACACCGAAACTTCTTTCACCACTTCACCCCTCAACACCTCTACTTCTTTCACCACTCCATCTATTTTTCCTTCCACTACCCCCTTATGCCTCTCGAGTTTCTCTACGACTTGATCAAGTTTCTCTTCGACTCTTGATTGTCTTTGCATGATTTCAAATTGGATTTTTTTGATATCAGCCAATTCAGACATCAAAATGTCGAAGTTACTCTGTTTTGCTTCACCGTCGTCCCACTCACCTTCATCCCCCAATACAACCATCCCTCCTTTCTTCTCCTCTGCCTCCACTGCCTCCTCTACATCCTTGCCAATAACCTTCAAAAAATTAAATTACAATATTAAGACATTGATTATATTCTTAATATTATTTAATTACATTTATTACCATTTCTTGCTTCTTCCCTCTATCCAACTTCAACTTCACCATCACTCTAACCACCTCTTCCTTCCCCCATGCACGGATGCGTGCCACTCCGGTTCTTTCATAAGCCGGCACTGCCTCACAGCCCGACCAAAAATCGAACAGTGCAACCTGCATTTATAATAAAATTAGAATTTTTATATAAAAACACAAAAAAGTGATTCAACTCATTTACCTCTAAGATTGCTATGCACCCTTTGAGGTATCTCTGGCTGCCCTTTTTAAAGGTGATAATTGATTCAATCAATCTCGAATGGATATATTCAGCCCAATTGAATTCACCCTTCAAGCCTTCATCGCAAATGAGCTTCATATATTCCTTGTTCGTTGACGTATCACCCGTTGGACAAAGAAATATACCGACAAGGTACAATAGAACTCGGGCCTTCAGCTCATCCCCAAGTAAGATCCACTTTTGATATCCTCTTCAACTTCAGTATATGTCACCTTATGATTCAAACCATATTTGGAGGCAAGTGCTTTCCAGTTCTTACTCCTACAGACTTCTATAACACTTTTGCCTTTGTTTTGTACCCCCAATACGGCTGCAGCAGTCGATACCCCCAGAGGGAATGAATAATCACCATACTTAGCCATACATTGACTGACGTCAAATTGTGCCATCAAGGATCGACACAATTCCCTCCGAATAGGTCGATCCCTTACTCCGATCAACGATCCAAAACCTATTTCTCCCAGCACATTCAACTGACCCTTCTCCTTAAGGTGTTTAATTAATAAATTCACCCTTTTAATGCTGCATCTTGTCGACACTTCCTACATTTTTAACAATATATAATGTTATAGTTCTTATATATTTTGTATCAACGTATTTACAAGTTTAATGAATACCTTATTTTCGGGGGCTTTCCTCCGTTCTTTGTATTCTTTACTATCATTCCTTGACTGTGTGATGTAAGGTTCCTTTTCAGCATCACTCATTGAATTCCATTTGGACCTCACATCTTTTTCACCTAATATTAAACATAAACGTTTCTTAATCAATACATTAACACTAAATACTAATACTACTCAATGTCAATTTCATTTTACATACCGAACCGCTCTGTGTGCCATCTCCCTTCATCCTTTTGCATTCGGCCATACTGTTAACATTTAAAATTTGTAATCAATTTAAAGTTTATCGATACTTTAATCCAATTACCATTTCAACAATAATAACAAAAAGACATTGATACTTACTAGAAGTACATATATCCACCCTTTGGTTGCTTTCGAGTCTCGGCCTCAATTTCAAAGTCATCTGCTCCACCAACAATTTTCCAACCCATTGACTCCATTTTTCCTTCATATATCAGTTTACGCAAATCAAATTATTTTGTTACATACACTTTTCAATATACAAATATAGATAACTACTCTTGTGGTAAAACGGTTTTCTTCAAAAGAATTGAATGGCCACACCAAAATGTGTCGGCACATTTATACAACCTATAATATCATTTTCTACCTATAATATTTAATAAAAGTATCGACATTTATCGTTTTCCTTGAATATCTATTTCTACCTGCAATCGGTCCCAAATGCTTCCTTACTCCAAAACCCCAAACAACACATAAAAAACCCTATCGCGATTACTGTAATAATAAAAAATTAGGGTTTCGACAACATACTTTTCGATTCGACTGCAGCAACAAACAAACAAACTTCGCTTTAGAAACGCCTTCTGAAATGCAGCAACAATTACTCTTCGATTTCAAAAACTCGTCCGTTCTATCTATTTTCAGAGGATATTTAGCTTATATTTTCATCGGATATGTTATTTATATTTAATCGATACAAATACAAAAGTGTCGATACTTTTATGTCAGGTGTCGATACTTTCGAAAGGATAATTACCTATTTCTTTGAAAGTGTCGATAATTTATTACACGTACTTACGAAAGTATCGACACTTTCAATATATCCGGTATCATTTTACCGTTTTTATCATTTTGATACCGGTTTTATCATATTTTACCTGTTATATCGTTGTGGATCGATATTTTTTTTAAAGTATCGACACATTATAGGCGCTATAACTGCTTCTCTTTTAAATTCACAAAGTGTCGATCCTTATATAACGTATCGACACTTTTAATTTTACCGGTTTTATCATTTTGTTACCGGTTTTATCATATTTTTACCTGGTATATCGTTTTGGATCGATATATTTCTTAAAAGTATCGACACTTTTTAGGATTTAAAACTGCTTTTAAAGTTATGTAATTTATGTTTCAATTTATTTAATAGTGTTTTATGTTTTCCACCTACAATATTAATTTAATAATTTAATTTACACAAAATTTTTTGATTGTTTTGATATTTTATAAAATATTATTTAGAATTTAAATTTAACAATATTAACCAAATATAATAATAAATATGTTTTCAACAGTGAAATAAGTATGGACACTTTTATAAAAATGATATATACTTTTTTGAAAGTTATGTAATTTATGTTTCAATTTTTTTAATAGTGTTTCATGTTTTCCACCTACAATATTAATTTAATAATTTCATTTACACAAAAAATTATTTGATTGTTTTGATATTTTATAAAATATTATTTAGATTTTAAATTTAAAAATATTAACTAAAGATAATAATAAATATATTTTCACAGTGAAATAAGTATGGACACTTTTATAAAAAGGATAGATAATTTACAATATAACAGGTAAAAATATGACAAAACCAGATTCATTATGACAAAACCGGTAAAATTTACTTGATATGTTAAAAGTATGGACACTTTTATAAAAAGGATAGATACTTACCGATAACCAAAGTTTACCGGTTACCAAATTTTTTAATAGTTTTTCATATTTTCTACCTAAAACATTATTAGTTGTCAACATAATAGGTACCGCTAAACCGAATTTATTAAATACATTTTAATGTATCCGGTAATGCTGTATATTAGCCGTATATTAACCCGCCTTTCCTGAGACATTCCCCAAACTTATGGTGGTTGAATTGTTTGGTACTTTGGTTTCACTTGGATTTGGTTAATCTCTAGAATTTTATAGGCAAAAAAAAATTAATTTTTATCTTTGTAGTAGACTCAGTTTATCACTTTCGTTATTATCATATTTTTGTATCAATTTAACTCTTGAAGTTGTTTAATTGCATCATTCTATAACCCTACCCTTAACTTAAAACCCTAAATTACAACCCTTAAACCATAATCCCATTATCTCTAAATCTTAAATATTAACTTAGGATTTATAATTTAACGTTTTAAGTTAAGGGAAGGGCATCAAATGATGCAATTAAATAACTTTGAGAGTTAAATTGATACAAAAATACGATAAAGACGAAAATGATAAACTTAGTCTACTACGTGGGCAAAAATAAAACCAATTTTAAACATCCTAATCCAGTTATGACTTGTGAAATCCATATCCACACGATTTAAATATTTATCAAAGAAAATTATGATTTGATCTGATTTAATTTTAGTTTTATAAAAATTATGTTATTATCATACACAGATAATTTGTGAAAGAAAAAAAAACTGCTGCATATATTTCTCCAACTAACTAATAAAAACGAAGAACAATAACAAAGGCAAATGGAGATTCACAAGAAAATAATCAAAGCCACAAAGCACCAGCATCTTTCAAAATAGGCACAAGTTCACCAGAGATATGAGTAGACATTACCCTATCCAATCCCCCAAACAACTTCCCTCCCACGAAAACAGCCGGCAGCTGAACCGCGCCGAATCTCGACAACTCGTCGACCGCCGTCGCCTCTTCTTTCCCTTCGTCTACCTCCAAAACCACCGGATTCACACCGTGCCCTAGCAGCAACCTCATCACCACATGGCACATGCAGCAGCCACGTCTACCGAAAACCACCACAGCATTCTCCTCCACCAGTTTCTTCATACTATTTCCGGCGCCACAATTTGTGACAAGTCCCCCGCCACCGTGGAGGAAGTCCTGAAGCGGCGAACGGCTGCCGGAGACTGAAGCCGAATACGATTTATAGGGGGTGGCTTCTTGCATCCAGAAAACTAAAGATAGTTATGGGATCAAGGGGAGGGGTATTGGTTATAATGATGGTGTGATTTATATATAATCAAGTGGGGAATGAAGGTGAAGACTTCAACGTCAACGCCATCTACGCACCGTGGGACGTCATAAGGATTGTGGGTGATGAATACGTCACCATTTGGAAGACAGATTCTCATCTGCCATTTGTTGGTTATTTGCTAGGTCCATAAACTGAAGGTGACGTTGCCTTTATCTTCTCGGCAGCGTGTTGAGTCCCAAAAAAATAAATTCTGAACGATTATAAATGGTATTTGTTTAAAATTTTTATTATTAATAATAATATATATATTAGATACAATTGTTTTAACTTAATTTTTTTTAAAGAGAATAGCATTTACGCAACATAGTAGACTAAGAACAGTTTTAAGTATAATATTTTAAAAAATATTTAAAAAACATATTCTACGTTCAAATCATAATTAATATTTAAAATTCAGTCAATAAATTTTAGAATAAATGGTTAAAATTTTTCAGTAATATAAATTTTTAAATTATAAATTAAATATCGATTAAAAACAAAATTTTCTTTTCTCTCCGCTAACTAGAATTATCCATAAAATAACACTGGACGACTGTACAACCCACTAGACTGATGTTCAACCACGATGAACGGATGACACATTTCTGAAATCAAAACCCTCAAAGGAACCTCTCATATGTAGCTGTATCTGTGATTCCCTGCTTGTTCTATTTTCCTTTTCTTCATCTTCCATCATGTCGACGGCGAGGTACTCAGACGCGGGTGCCTCATCAAAAGTACTTACCGAATAAGAAGGCTGAATGACGGTGAAGTTTCGATGGAAGGCGAGGTCTGGACTCTGGAGTGAAGCATCGAGTGAAGCCCGAGCCGGCATGTAATTACTTTTCAGTGCTACGTTTCTTCTGGCGTTGGCTCGCCATCGGTTCAGGCCTTCCGCCACAGCTTCTGGGAAGACACTTTTCTTCATAGATGTCCCCATCTGTTAAGAAGAAAACGTAAGTTGCATTGGTTGAATGCATCTAATACTTTTAAAAAAAAAATCTTATTAAGTCTCAAAAGTTCTAAAAATTTTAGTTAACCCCTTTTTAAAAAAAATAATTAAACATTTAAAAAATTTAAAAATTTTGATCTAAATCACTAATTTTGTTAAAATTTCAAGTAACCCTTAAATCGGGTTAGTATGATCCATCACTATCCTTCAATAATTTTAAATATTATTGTGAATTTAACGTGAAACATACTTAAAATATGTAAACCAAATTTAAATGTGTATGTGTTGCACATACTACTTCGATTTCATGTGTTAGAAGTTGACAATATCATTAATAGTTGCATGTTTACAAGCAGAGACCACATCAAATCCTATTAGTAGTTGTCTCTTAAACAAATGTGTAGACTAACGAAGCACTTAATTGATATTTTAAAGATTCAATTAAACTTTTTGAAGTTTAATACGAACTTAAAATCAAGATCATAGTTTAAAGACGTCGGGTGCAAATAACCCTATGAAAATTTTAAAAAAAATATTAATTACCTGAGTGACTGGAGCATAGAAAGGCAGGGGTAACATAGCCACAAAGGATTTGAACCAAAACTCCCATTACTAATCTTATCACAATGTCCTCAGTTCTTCGATGGAAACACGATCTAAATCCAAATTCATACTGCAATTTATTTAAAGAAAAATGTTAAAAAAATTCAATAAAAAATGAAAAATTAGCGGTTTGAATAAATCATTGGTTACCCAAGTCCATGTGAAGAATGCCAATTGAAAAGAGTTCTGAAACAAAATGAAATGCATGATGTGGAGAAGCAACTCGGGCCACCCAAACCAGAAGAATCCATCACTCGGCCTAACCAGGAAAGCTCCTCTCACAACTCGGCCTCTGTGTTGGCTATCCAAACACATCCTTGTTATGATGCCTTGGAGTTGTGTTCCCACCAGCAATAGCATCTGTTAAACCGAATATGTGTCGGACATAGATATCGAACACGAACACTGAAAGAAAAAAAATGAATGGATTCCTGGCCTGGGTTCATGTTATTTTACTTACCAATAGTCGAAAGAAAGGGAGCCAGAGACAGTTATAAAATGCTGCAGATGACATTTAAAATGAAACGGATTTAGCATTAACAGGCTTAATTATAAACCAGTATGTATGTATGTATATATATTGATAATCACCATGTACATTGAAGAATATGAAGTACATCGAGAAGATCCAAATCCAGAGGCTGAAAAAAAAGTTAATCACCGGTTAAATCCATAAGATGATTACTCTCTGCAACATGCAAATGAATCCGGAGTACACTCGTCTTTGTGATGTGATGCGAGTTTGAATATCTAAAGATGAACTCAAATACCCAAAGTGAAAATTTCTGACTTATATTCTCATGAATTCAACAATTCGGGTCGAATTGTGCCGGAGAAAAAGACTAACGGTAAGATTATTCATATCAAATAGACTAACCTTATCCCCACAACAACTCCGAAATCCTTTTCCAAAGCTCTTTTTATATACTTTTGGAAGTCAAAGTTTCTTCCTTCTGAAAAATGGGTCTAGGGAAACAAAAAATAGGGTCAGAATCTGCATCAAAATGAAGCAATGAGGTGTTGAAGTATTGTTGCGGAAGACGGCTGTCGGATAAAGCAAAAATGCAACTGATAATTTGAGAAAATAAAAATTGAAGATAAAAGAGACAAAATTTACGTGGAAAACCCCTAAATAATATAGGGTAAAAACCACAGGCAACGGTAGAAGAATTTCACTATGAGAAAAAATATGAATTACAACCTCTCTCGATCTACTAAGGAGAAAACAATGATAATTCTCTCTTGATAAAAAGGAGAAAATAACTCTAAAAAAACTCTCTAAAATCTCTCTAGTATTGGAAGAAAGATAGAATGCTTTGGGATGGTTTTGAAGCTAAATGATGTAGGGTATTTATAGTTGAAGCCTTAAGGACTAATCTTGTAAATACCCTAAATTGTAATGACTAAATTTGTCATTTACCCATTACATAAATTCAAAGTTTGGTGGCCAAATTTTGACCACATTTGTCGTCCAATTATGCTACCATATTCAATGCACCGAAAGTGCAAAGACTTTCAACAATCTCCCACTTGAAGATTTAATTTGGAACAATCATATCTTCACACCATTCTTTCTACCTTGTACCTTTATGTTGCTTACGTCTCTGACAGGCCACAGGAGGATCGACACCAGGTAAATTTATCAGCGTTGATCGCCTTCATCATGAACTGCTATATTGTCTTTGGTATGGATCTTCTGCATATCTACCGTCCCTTTTTCACCTTTTCACGAATAAAATGGTACTGAACTCGTATGTGCTTTGTCCTTGAATGAAATACTGGATTCCTTGCTAGATGCAAGACGCTTTGACTGTCACAAAACAAAGAGACATACTCTTGATTGTGCCCAAGCCCCTCCAATAGCATCTTCAACCAGATTGCTTCTTTACTAGCTTGTGTAGCTGCTACATATTCTACCTCTGTTGTGGATGTAGCCACAACTGACTGCAATTTTGAAACCCAACTTACAGCTCCACCAGCAACTTTGAACACATATCCTGTAGTAGATTTGCTTTTATCCAAATCCCCTGCATAGTTAGAATCAACATACCCATTGATAAGTAAGTTTGATCCTCCGTAACATAATGCAACATTTGAGGTCCCTTTGATGTATCTCAGGATCCTCTTCATTGTATTCCAATGCTCTTTGCCTGGATTCGCCATGTACCGACTAACCACTCCCACTGCTTGTGCAATGTCTGGTCTTGTGCATATCATAGAGAACATTAAACTTCCCACTGCTGATGCATACGGTACTCGAGACATCTCCATCATCTCTTCTTCACTGCTAGGACTCATACTGGAGGATAATTTGAAGTTAATAGGAAGAGGGGTAGAAATTGGCTTACAATCTTTCATGTTGAATCGTGACAAGATCTTCTTCAAGTAATTCTTTTGTGAAAGCCAAATCTTCCTATTACTTCTGTCTCGGTGAATTTGCATCCCTAGAATCTTGTTTACTGATCCCAAGTCCTTCATTTCAAATTCCCTAGCCAGTTGTGCCTTCAATTCATCAATATGATCTTTGTTGGGTCCTGCAACCAACATGTCATCCACATACAACAACAATATAACAAAATCGTTATCACTAGACCTTTTGAAATAAGCACAAGGGTCTGTATTAAGTCTGTTGTATCCAAGGCACATAATGAAGGAATAAAATCTCTTATACTAACACCTCGGCGCCTGCTTTAGACCGTACAGAGATTTGTTCAACCTGCAAACCAAGTTCTTCTTTTCTTTTTCTTCAAAACCTTCAGGCTGGAGCATATAAATATCTTCTTCAAGATTTCCATGAAGAAAAGCTGTTTTAACATCTAGTTGCTCTAGATGTAAATTCAATGTAGCACACATTGCCAAGACTACTCGAACTGTTGTTAGTCGAACCACAGGAGAAAAAATTTCATTGAAATCAATACATTCTTTCTGAGCATATCCTTTGACCACCAGTCTTGCACGATACCTCTCCACTTGATCGTCACCATTTCGCTTGATTTTGAAAACCCATTTGTTACCAATTGGCTTCCTTACTTGTGGTAGTGGCATAAGGTCCCATGTATTATTTTTATGAAGGGCTTCAATTTCTTCTTGCATCGCCATCATCCACATTGAAACATCTGAACTGTTTATTGCCTCCTGGTATGTTGATGGCTCACCGTCCTCTGTTAAAAGGAAGTATGCAACATTTCCTTCTATAACATAATCTGAGTGCCAATTGGGACGTCTTCTCACACGATCTGATTGACGAGTTGTTGGAGCTTCAGAACTCTCTAGTTCTTATTCATCATGTGATGGTTCTGCTTCAGAAGAATCTCCTTGTTCAAATTCCTTTTCCACATGTATCTGAGTAGTCTCTGACTTTTCAGCGCAATCATCGTCTTCTTTTCTTTGTAGTTTATCTTCTACAAA